CTACCGTAGCTCTCTCTTTCTTTTGTTTCGTTTTCCTACGAGCAGTGGCCCTAAGGGCCTTGCTCCACTCGTCATTACTTCCACAAAAAACAAAACATATGGCAGCGTATGGTTCCATGTTCTAGCAGAAGATTCATTCCTCTCCTTCTTTTGTTTTGTTTTCCTACGAGCAGTGGCACTAAGGGCCTTGCTCCACTCGTCACCACTTACACAAAAGACAAAACATATGGCGGCGTAAGGTTCCATCTTATAGCAGAATATTCATTCTAGTTTTGCACATTTGGTGAGTAGTGGAGGGAAGCCCTGAGAAGTACGTGGTGAGTTGGCCTGCTACTTGGCCTGTTACTGCCCAGAAACTCGCGTGATCAGTGGTCCCATAACTGCTGAAACACGGACCTTAATGTGAATCACAAGCATGTATACTTGGTGTGAATCAACAGCATATAGTTGGCGTGCCATGATTCTAGCATGGCTATGAGCATGGTTACGAGCATTACCTCGTTAAGTGGCCCGTGCTAATTATGCGCAGGGGCCTCCCGGATAACCCGTACGAGGACATGCCTTCGAAAAATGGTGCGGGGGAAGAACTCCTGCCTTCGAAAAGTGGCGGCCGCGAACTGCCCCCCTACGATTACAAAAAAAAAGACAAAACGAACCAGCACATTTTCTGTCCCTTCCGGATGGTGGCCAAAGGCCCAAAAAAATATGGGCCAATTTTTTTCAGGCGGCCCAGGGCGTGAAAAAACGCCCTGGGCCGCCCAAAAAAATTTTGGCCATTGGCCTGGGGGCCCTCCATCCGGACCGGTTACCGGAAAGTGGTACCGGATCCCGGATCCCGGAGAGTCTGGATCCCTTTCCGGGGGTCCGGATCGTAGCCATGCTATGAACTAAAAAAGCGCAATTTGCGAAACAAACGGCAAAAAGAAAAAAAGAAAAAAAGAAAAAAAAAACATGAAGGGCACAGTGAAACCATTCATTTTACTCATTCTTCTTTTGACTCCCCTTTCACCGTGCCTCTCACGTACAAGGCTCGCCACGTTGATGAAGTTGATTGCGAGCTGCCCCCATCCCCATGCGCCATAACAGCCCACTTGTACGCTATGAGAAAGAGGCAGAGTGAAGGGGGAGGGGATAAACACAGGGAGGAGAGATGGAGAGCAGACAAACAAAGAACGATAATGGGAAAGTAACGGGAAGTATGGAGTATGTAGTGAAGATGAAGGCAAAAGAGGATAAGAAAAGTCTCAAGAATAAGTCTGTCCTTGACGACAGAGAGGACATACATTGTAAGGATGACGTGGATGAACACATGGAAGACCTAGCTGAGCATTCTCAGTGCAACAATTGCCACGACGAGTGGCATTGAGCATGCCCGCCATACACCCCGACAAAGGGCATGTCGATTGCAAGCCAAAATGAAAGAAGAACGGTCACCACAAAAGAGCATGCATTCAGTATAGCGCCCATGGCCGCAAAATGCACATATAGTGTCCGGATGCGGAGGGTGCCTGCAGTCAGGAACGGTGGGACAGTCCTCTGCACACATGGATGCAGAAACCATGTCATTATAGTGATTGTGACAGAGACGGTGGCGGCTACAACCGAGTGTAACAGTGTTTGTGGTTGTGCAAAGGAGAAGGTCGCAAAGTGTTGGTGCATTGTCTTGCAGCTGTTCGAATGAGTGTCTTTGATAAAGCGGCTGCTTGGGACTTCCCTGTCATTCGTTATCCAAGTGCGACCTCCAACATCCCTTCCCATCAACCAGCTGGTGTGTTCACTGGGCAATTGACCAGATTTGAACAAATCTGTAACAATTGGCAGGACTTTCGAACTGCGGCAACAACACTTACTCGCCGTATGCTTTCGCGTGGGCATTCTCCACCAACCCTTGCTAAGGGGTGGACCTGCTACATGCGCTCCTGCCAACGTCGCTATCCTACACATGTGATGCGTCTCTCTCTCAGTGGTTCCGACGCATGTTGCGGTCCTTGTATCATCCAATTTCTTCTTCGCCCCCACAACGCTCTCGTCCTGCCCCTGCTTACTCACCGCAACAGTGGAAACCGCAGCAATAGAAACTGCAGCAGTGGAAACCGGAGCAGTGGAAACTGGAGCAATGGAAACTGCTGCAGTGGAAACCGCAACAGTGGAAACTGCAGTAGTGGACACCGCAGCAGTGGAAACCGCAACAGTGGACACTGCAGCAGTGAAAACTGCAGGAGTGGAGACTCCAACAGTGGAAACTGCAGGAGTGGAGACTGCAGCAGTGGAAACTGCAGTAGCAGCAGATGAGTAAGCAGGGGCAGGACAAGAGCATCGTGGGGGCGAAGAACAAATTGGTTGATAGAAGGACCATTGCAACATGCTTCGGAACCACTGAGAGAGACATGTCACATGTGTAGGATAGTGACGTTGGGGGGGGTGTGCATTTAGCATGTCCACCCCTTAGCAAGGGTTCGTGGGGAATGCCCACGCGAAAGCATATGACAAGTAAGTGTTGTTGCCGCAGTTCGAAAGTCCTGCCAATTGTTACAGATTTGTTTAAATCTGGTCAATTGCCCAGTGAACACACTAGCTGGTTGATGGGAAGGGATGTTGGAGGTCGCACTTGGATAATGAATGACAGGGAAGTCCCAAGCAGCCGCTTTATCAAAGACGCTCATTTGAAGCAAGCCATCGAAACAAACCCGTAGTTGCATACCTAAAAAGGTACAGGAGCCATATGTAGCTGTAGTCTCCTTCCACTCAATGGTGGAGGAGGTAATTGTCCCCATGAAAGAACATCATCAATGAGGCGATAGGTTAAGGTATATTGTTGAGCAGCTTGAAGATCATGTTGACGAATGTCATCAACAAAGCGTGCTTCATCCCAATACAACGTCAGATTATAATTTTTTGGGCCAGCATTCGTTCCTATTGGAATACCGATAATTTGTTTCCGAAGTGTGCCATCTCTCGTGTATAGAAAAGTGTTTTGTACAACAAAGCGAAGATGTTGGAGAATCTGAGAAACAAAAAGGGCATCCGGGCCTGAATCAGTTGTCCATAGCCACAACTAGGTCCTCGAATAGCCATGTTGAGGGCAACGCAACGTGAATGCGTGTGAGCTTGCCGAACGGCATAAGCATGAGCTTCATCAACAACTTTTGCCACATTATTCAGAATGCGGTCATGAGGAAGGTTGGTGTACATTGTGGTAAAATCAACAGTGCGAGGAGAGAGGCCACGAAGAGACGATGCATTGTTTTTCAGGTCAATCGCCACTTCATCGACACTCAGAACGATCCAGCACCGTTGAACACCAACTTGTTGATAGAGCTCAGTGTCTTTCTCGCGAAGAGTAGAGATCACTCCTTGCAAAGCAGCGCTGAGATACGACGGAGTAGTCGTTGTGCTAGCCAAGGGTTTGTGAGGAGGTCGTTCATGAATGGCGCGAATTGTTGGACGAGGGCGAGTACGCGGGGGAACAACACTATTATTTTGTGTTGTGACTCCAAGAATGCTGCGAAGAGTTGGAGGAGACTTGTGAGCTTTGAGTACATATTAAAGGTAAGGTAGGGTATCGGTGTGGGTGTAACCCCAATGGTGATTCCACACTGCATGGTGGTCAAAGGCATCAACAACGGACTCTTGAGGACGAGTATAAGTGAGACTGTCCAAATGGGTAGAGAGATGAAACAGATACCAATTCTTGTAGCAAATTGTCAAACTGTGTGATGTTTTGTCCATAGGGACAATGGCAAAGTGTTGTTGAAGATGGTGCAAGGAGGCATGTGTAGAACGTAGTGAACGTGGCTGGGTCACATGACTGGAGAACGAAGATGCATTGGATTGACAATGCACAAGGATTGCAGAACGCCAGCTGTTCAACTTCTGAGAAAGAGACGAGAAAGAAGCAGATCGAGAATGTGAGGTACGAATCATAAGTTGGGGACCCGAACGAAGATCAACAACAAAGGACCTAACCGAAGGTGTTGGCAAGAGAGGTAAACAGTGAGGGGGTGTTGGCAAGAGAGGCAAACACTGAGTGGGTGTAGATAAAAGGGGTGCTATGTGAGAAGGATCAGCCGGTGCAGGAACGGATGGACCAGCAATAGATGTGGTAGGGAGGGAAACAGGAGGAGCTGAGGCATGAGGAGGTTGAGGGGGCTGAGGAGCAAAGGGACGAGGGCCCATTTGTGTCCAACGATGAGGGCGGAAATGTCGTCGTGGAGCCGGCAGTCTAGCCATTGGAAGGACTGTATTGAAACCAACCGGGTGAAGAGTTCGAAGTTTACGAACCCAAAAAGCCTCGCGGGGTGCAACAGCCCGCCGAAAGAGGGCATGATCAACAAGACCTTCAGACGTATGATAAAGGGTAGGATCAATGCATTCCAAGGGCCAAGCAGCAAAGTTGAATGGCATTTACGCTGCGTTGCCCTCAACATGGCTATTCGAGGACCTATTTGTGGCCAATGGACAACTGATTCAGGCCCGGATGCCCTTTCTGTTTCTCAGATTTTCCAACATCTTCACTTTGTTGTACAAAACACTTTTCTATACACGAGAGATGGTACGCTTCGGAAACAAATTATCGGTATTCCAATGGGAACGAATGCTGGCCTAGAAATTTCTAATCTGACGTTGTATTGGGATGAAGCACGCTTTGTTGATGACATTCGTCAACATGATCTTCAAGCTGCTCAACAATATGCCTTCACCTATCGCCTCGTTGATGATGTTCGTTCATGGGGACAATTACCTCCTCCACCAGAACACTTTGGGTTTGAGTGGAAGGAGACTACAACTACAGATGGCTCATGTACCTTTTTAGGTATGCAACTACGGGTCCGTTCCGATGGCTCGCTTCGAATGAGCGTCTTTGATAAAGCGGCTGCTTGGGACTTCCCTGTCATTCCTTATCCAAGTGCGACCTCCAACATCCCTTCCCATCAACCTGTTGGTGTGTTCACTGGGCAATTGACCAGATTTGAACAAATCTGTAACAATTGGCAGGACTTTCGAACTGCGGCAACAACACTTACTCGTCGTATGCTGTGGGCATTCCCCACCAGCCCTTGCTAAGGGTGGACCTGCTACATGGGCTCCCGCCAACGTCACTATCCTACACATGTGACGCGTCTCTCTCGGTGGTTCCGACGCAAGTTGCAATGGTCCTTGTATCATCCAATTTCTTCTTCGCCCCCACAATGCTCTCGTCCTGCCCCGCTTACTCATCTGCTGCTACCGCAGTTTCCATTGCTGCAGTCTCCACTCCTGCAGTTTTCACTGCTGCAGTGTCCACTATTGCGGTTTCCACTGTTGCGGTTTCCACTGCTGCAGTGTCCACTGCTCTAGTTTCCACTGCTGCAGTGTCCACTGTTGCGGTTTCCACTGCTGCAGTTTCCATTGCTCCAGTTTCCACTGTTCCAGTTTCCCCAGTTTCCGCCGCTGCAGTTTCTACTGCTGCGGTTTCCACTGCTGCAGTGTATATGTATGAACATGTGCATTATCCGGCGGCCTAGCTCAGTTCGTAAGGCACGCAAGTGGCATTCAGGAGGTTTTGGGTTCAATCCCCATTGGCCTCATGTACCATCCTGGGCAAGCTTGGTGCCCGCCACCTAAAGATATGTCGTTGGTCCCCCCGAGTGGCATTAAGCAGAGACTGCTGGTGTTCATAGGGGGAGGGGACCGGAGGGGAGGCACAGTGACTGGCCCATCGAAGAAGCTCGGTCCTGATGCTACCGGCTGACCCCTGGCCGGTATCGCCCACCTGCTGTAGCAGGTATCGCACCTGCTGGTGGGTGCAGCTCCCGCATGTTCCCTCGTTGGAGGCTTGAGCACAGATGTGGCTGCTACGGGGTTCCCCGTAATACTATAATGAGAATAACAAAGGCCTGAAAGGCCGTCCTGTCCAGATTCGACAGGTAATTGAATTGGTTGGGATATAAGACTTCGCCTTTAAAAAAAAAAAAAAAAAACAACGTGCATTTACTTTCTCAGTATTGCCGGCCGTAAACAGACAAAAACTGTGTTCACATGGGGAGGTATTATCCAACCCTGTGTTAGAAGCACCATAACAGACAAAAACTTTAGTATGTCACTGTATGCCCGCCCCCCCCCCAAAATAAAGAATTCCAGTATACGAACTGGATAGATTGAGCAACTTCAGTGTTTCACTAGATAGAGAATGCAGGAGACCTCACGTCCTGTTCTGAGTGATAAGACATGAGAGGCTTATGGAGCTTGGTCACGCCAGACAAACTTTGTGCAACAGTGGAAGTGGATCTCATGACATATCTTCTTTCATGCCATCCAAGCGACGACAACGCCTCGGCAGCGCCCTGATCATCACCAAGGCGGTAACAACATGGCTTCCGGCCAGACAACCCACTCTCGCCAGATAAAACGGCGGGCTTGGCTCGTCCGTTTCTGCTCCCACTCCTCCTAAGGCCTTACGCTGCCCCCCTACTGCATTCCCTCCCCCAACACACATAAGCTTTAACCATCAGACCTGTTAGACTACCGAATTATCAAACCAACTAACTTGTCCCAGGCCCCGCTCACTACGCACCGTGGCATACTTAACCACATTTTCCAACTCTGACATATTCTCTCTTACATACGTACCCGTTCACACACCCTGCCCTCGCCAGTCCTGCTGTTCACCTCTCCTTCCAATCCCTCCCGCACCGTTTCCATCCCCCAAATCATCAGGCCGCAACACGGAGTCACTCTCCCCTCCAGAATCGGTTCCCCTCCTCCCTCGTGTCCACCATACCTCACCCCTCAAATCAATGCTTTCCTAGCACCTCCCTATGGATGAGAACCCTACCACGCGCAATGGATTACCACACTTCCTGGCGCTGCCTCCCGAAACCCCCCTCCCACGCTCAGCGGTAAACCTATCCACTTGCAGCCTGTCATCACACTCTCTTCACCAGTATACACTACACCCAGCCCACACAACCTAGCAACCACTTCTCATGCCATTATCCAACCGTACTACTCAGCACGAGGACTTGCCACTGCCTCCTCGGTGCCATTGTCCATAGTTCCCCGCTCCACCCACCTCATTCCACCTGCCCCCGACTGCGACCGAGAGGGTGCATGAACTCCGGAAAACCCACCTCCTCCTCTCACTCCCTTCTCCTCTCCCGATCATCACAGATCCTTGCTACCCCTGCAATATACTTGTCCCAATTGTCCCGAACAAACATGGCTCTCTTGACCCATCCCTGTTACAGTTCTCTACTCGCAGGTCAATTGTTCACAACGAGTAACATGCCTTCGCAAAGGAACGAGTCCGTGCTAGATCACGAACCCCTTCCTTCAGGAAACGTTCACCTACTTACATTGGCAACCCCCCATCGGCATCAACCAACGGGCTTTCCGCAACTCTGCGCCCGACTTTTCGCTGAAAGCAAAAACCGGTCCTTTCCGTTGTGTCATCATGACACTGTCCCTTCAGACCCTTCCTGCTTGAATCCAGAAGCAAAGAAGATCATGAAAAAGGATGACATTGAAGAAGAAGTATTGAGTCTATCCAAAGGAAGAAATTGGCGGCCGCCGATGTCCTCTACGGAAAACAGGCAGTCGCCGCTGCCTTTCCTAACACTGGAGAAAGACTTCCAACAATCGAGAAACAGAAACGGTGGTGAAACCCGTGCATGAACACGCACAGAACATCAAAACAGACCTGGACAAATTTCCATTTGCGGTCTGTGTTGGAACAGCACGATGGTCGTTTTACCAGATGAAAGTCATGCCTCCCGCATGATTGAAAAATGTGAACTTTTGAAGTGCAACGGTTCGGTTTGCACATTGTCAAGGTGGAAACCAGAAGCAGCACAGAAATCCTACCTGCCCCAACTGGCAACGTACAATCAGAATGCAATTCTGGGTGTAACAGTTTGGAGACATACGTATAAAAGGGCACATACTGATCACAGACCATCTAGGAGAAAGAATACCCAGCAAACAAAACTCTCAAATGGGATCCTCCCCACACCCGACTTCGTCACACCACAGTGCGACTTTATGACAGCAATTTTAGAAGTTCGGACGGACGACCCAACGACTTTCCCAGACACCTGGGAGTGCATCATCGGCGACAAAGCAACATCAGTTATAGTATCCACTAAGACTTCCTCCGTTTGTTTCCTATGTAAGCATCATCGGAGAGAGGCAATTTGAGCACCGGCCCACAACATCCTCGAACACCAGGTCACTTCAAAGAGAAAAAAACTCAGATAAATTAATGTTTTTTCAACTTTTTGTAGCTTTTTTTTGGGCTTTCTTTCATTCAAGTATGCCGCCTACCGTAGCAATTGGAGCGATTTGGCCTCCAAATTTCCAAAAGGTACTGATGTGTTAGATCCTTGGGGAATCCCTTTCTAAATACTCTTATTCTACTTTCATCTGGAGCTGCTGTAGAGCATGCTAGTTGAGTCCTTGGAAGATCTCCTACCGTGAGGTTGCAAAAGCCTAAAGGTGGTATAGTTTGTTGATGACTCGGCGACTATGATGGGTGGGTCTCCCATATCCCAGATCCTGTTCGATCCCAGATAGATATGGACATGGGGGCTCGCCTCACCTCTCGCCAAAGACCAACATTTTGAATGAATCAGGACAAAGCCCTCGTCTCGATACATGCAAAATGTTGGCATCTGGCGAGTGGTACGACAGGGCCCATACCCTGACAAGGAACCAGCAACGAAGAAAACAGACGAGTTCCCCACCTTCAGACACCAAATGTCATTCAGTCAGGGCGAGCAGAGATACTGGTCATCCTGGGAAAACGTTTGCTGCTCCGTCAAAAGACTCGATAATCATAAAGGACGAGATAAAACAGGAAGATCTCCTCCCGGATGTCGGAACCATCAGGACAAGACAGCAGGCATCTCCGTCCCTGCAGTCGACCACACATCCTGTGACAACAACCGCCTGTGCAAAGATGCACTCATGAGGCCCACTGTCCTGCAGCAGCATCAAATGTGGGCTTTGTTTTCACAGAACCTGGGAAGATACATCCGTCACTATTTAATAGATGTATAGTGCCAGCTTTTGTGCAAAGATGCACTAACGTTTTTTCCGTTTCATTAGTGTGGTGAGTCCCACAGTAATGCAGTGGCATCAAATTTGGGCTTGAAACGTCTGCCATCAGCTCGTTCGTGATCTAATGGATGGAGGACACCACCGTTTCTTTTTTTTCCTGAAGCACCACTACCTTTCCTGCTGTTCGGGAAATGGGAAAATACTAATCAAAATAGCCTTCTCCTAAAGAAACGAAGGCTGGGCCCCACAACGACCACCGTTGATAAATCTCATCGGCGGCCGTCGTTTCGTTTTGCTCTCCTAAGGAGTCGGGGGGCCAACGGCGGCAAGGACCTTATGGTCCTGGCTCCATATCCATTCTCGGGAACGTCACTCCGGTTGCTATTCCACCAGCAGGTCAGATATACAAGAAGAACACCCTCACGATTCCTTCAGTACCAAGAAGCGCCGACGAAGAAACAAAAACAAACCTCCCCATTTCTTTTCTTTCTTGTTGTTTATAAAACACTTTCTCCACCTTAAATACCGTTGTCCCACACCTGTCACAAAGGTTGAGCTGTAACCCTATCTGGGTGCTAGCGAGAGAGAGAGCTCGCCCCTGATGTGGGATAGAAACATGCAAGGGTTAAAAAAACAAAACAAAACCAAAAAAAAAAAACATGCATGGGCAGCTGCAAATCAGAGGAATGCTGGATCATTCAGCGTATGAAAAAAACGTCAAAGTTGGCACACTCAACATCGTGCACAAAGCCGCCAACCTCCCATGGCCAAGCCTACCAGCACACCCCACCCCGTGCCCAGCCGCGGGCGCAAAGTTGCAAATCTCGAGACGCCAGGGGCAACAGTGGTTTAAAACTTTGAACACTAATGTGGAGGGATGAGGTGAGGTGTGGGAAGAGTGGAAGATCATGACCTGAGAAAGTGCATACCAGGACTCAAATGGTTTTTTGCAAATTTTTGGTGATTAATTTTGTATTTTGAGCTTGAACAACCCCAAAATAACGGAGCTGAGCCCATTTGCTTTTCTTCACGTTTCCTCTCTGTAGCCCTTTCACTCGTACCCCGCCCCCCCGCCCCTTCCCTCTCTTCTTCTCTCTACCCTTTGTTTCTCTCTATCCTTCGTCGATCGTGGCCAGTTTCTTGATGCTTGCCGATGTGATAAGCAACCGGACTGCTGTGGCACTGCTGCCCCCTGGAATAAAAGGGGCTCGTGTGTGTGTCTGTTTTAAAAAACGGAAAACAAAAGGAGAAAGACTCAAATGCTATTGGTCAAATTCGGTGACTAATTTACCAATTTTTCATTTTGAGCTTGAACAACCCCAAAACAACGGAGCTGGCAGATTCCCTCGACAACACACTGACCAAGTTCAACGCTCGTGGGGAAAACAAACGCATCCCAACAGAGAAATACTTCCGCGATTGATTTTTTTTTGGCTTTTGAACGACTCAAAATTAACAGAGACAGATTGTCTCGAAACCCGACCGACCTAGTTCAATGCTCTCTGAAAAAAGAAAGAAAGAAAGAAAGAGGAGTGAAAAGTTGAAAACACTTCAAAAACACCCATTAGATTTCCAATTGATTCACGGTTGTTTTCCAGGGCCTTTCCGAAAACAACTTGGTGGTAGCCCTAACACGTTGGAAACCCATTGCTCCAGAGCAGGATGTTCGCCCGCTCACAAGAGCAAAACAAAGCTCAACTAAGAAAACAGTGCAAAAGAACCCAAGATAGCAAAGTTGAAGTAAGAAAAAGGCACAAACGAAAAGAGGCGTAAAAATCCAAGATAGCTGCACGATGTGAGATAGCAGCACACAGCCACACACGCACACACACACAAACACACAGGGAGGGAGGGAGGGAGGGAGGGAGGGAGGGAGAGAGAGAGAGACAACATACCATCTTTACCGAAACCCTTTCTTGAGGAGTCTGATTTTCCTCGCTCACATTTCTTTGGGGATGTATCACCTTTCTTTTTGGAGGCACGAGGAGTGGACACCTTTCCAAACCAAGATTTACATCGGACAGCAAATCCTCCCAAGTTGAGTGGAATTGTTGCAGTTCCTCCCACTGAGACCCCGATCTTCCATTTTTGGCCATTTGATGCACCGCGAGCAATGACCTCGCTTTCAGACTGCAATGGCCGCAATGGAGACAACTTCGGATTGTCAACAACAGTCCCTCGCACAGCGCCCTTTCCACTCCCTCCCGTCCTAGAGGAGGCCTTGCTGCCGCCTCCTCCTCCTCCTCCTCCTCCTCCTCCCCCTGCTCCTGCTCCTCCCTTATCACCGGTTCTACTCCCTTTTCTGGAAGTCTGCACAACCCCTTGACTTGTTTCTGCCTGCACCGCAGCTGTCCCAACCGGTCCCTCTCGAGCCAAGGAGGTACTGTTCTTTCTGGGTGATCCATTTCCTGTTAAATTCTCCTGCAAGGCGGGAACCACCTCCTTTTTGGGAGTAGACACAGCTCCTTCACCTGTTTCCGGCAGGACAGCAACTGGGCCAACTGGTGCTGCTCCAGGGAGGGAGGAGCCATTCTTTCTGGGCGATCCATTTGCTGCCGCTAGATTGTTCTCCTGCAAGGTAGAAGCTGCCTGTGCACGCTTTCCTCTCTTTCCGCGCTGGAAGATGTTAAAATCAATAAGCATTTGCGTTTTGTGACTTCTGTCCGGTCACAAACCAAGGAGGAAGAAGATGCTATCTTTCTCGGATAAAATGGCAACACTGCAAGATTTGCAGAACGATTGACTTCGGGATACAGCGCTGCTGTCCGACCAATACAGTGCCGTCCCCCTGGGCAAAAACTCATCACAGACGCCAGATCCAATCCCTCTACCGTGCCTGATAAGTAGTAGGCGTTGTGAGTGCTTAATTTGCATACTGAACCCTTCCACGTCCAGGTACGGAATGAAGGAAGCCTCGCTGACGCTCCCGGGTCAGGTTCGGACTCGAGTCTGGCGGAGATTGGCATTCATGAAGAGCAGCAGACAGCTCGTGATCCTGCACAACCAGATTGAAAGAAAGAAGGGAAAAAGAAAGGAGAGAGGAAATGTCAAAAGCATGTTGCTGACTGTGACGCACGAGAGGCACACGACATTACAACCACAAACAGGGTTGCATGCCTGCCGACCACCGACCCCGACCCCGACCGCCAACCGTTTTGCAGCCGACCAGTAGAGCCTACCGGTCGGCGGTCTGCCAACCAGTCAGAAAACAGCCATCCACTGTTTGTTTTTTCAAAACTGAGTTAGGGGCTGTACTGTGCTTGCTGAGTACAGCCCAAATCCGCTGAGAAACTTTTGGGGATGCGGGGAGGTAGGGGGGGGGTCAGGGGGGGTATAGGGGGGTTATAAGGGGTATTGGGCGTGGGAATAAGGATGTTGGGGCGCGGTTTGGAGGTGTTGAGGGGGTGTATAGGGGTATTGGGGGTGGCTGAGGTAGCCAGACGTGCCCCTCCCTTCTACAGATTTTAAGGGCACAGAAGAAAAAAATTAGGGCCCCGTATTCCTCATTGCATACAGGTTTTTTACTGAAGGCCCCCCAGCAGAGAATCTGCAGGGCTCTTACATCTCAGCAGAGACACTCGACGAATTTCGGATGAGCGAGAAGCAGGCCAGCTATGTATCTTCTGGATCCGAATTCAGGTGTGTGTTCCAGCAGTTATGGGCTACAACTACTTACTGTCGTAGCTCTCTCTTTCTTTCTTTTGTTTTCCTTTTCATACCAGCAGTGGCCCTAAGGGCCTAGCTCCACTCGTCACCACTTGCACAAAACACAAAACATATGGCGGCGTATGATTCCATGTTCTAGCAGAAGATTCATTCTAGTTTTGCACAATCGGGGAGTAGAGGAGGGAAGCCCCAAAAATCATGTGGTGAGTTGGCCTTCTACTGCCCAGATAATCACGTGCTCCGTGGTCCCATAACTGCTGAAACACGGACCTTAATGTGAATCTACGCCATATATAGTTGGCGCGCTGCTGCCCTGCAATGTGTTCCAGAAGTGCCACTTTTGTGGAGACGAGGCCCTCGCTAATTATTTGCAGGGGCCTATAGGATTACGCGCAGGGGTTTTCTGATTGTTAAAGGGCTCTTTGCTCTCTCTCTCTCTCTCTCTCTCTCTCTCTCTCTCTCTCTCTCTCTCTCTCTCTCTCTC